AAAGGCAAAATACAAATAGCTACACACACATTCTACAATGGCTTTTTGTTTCCTGTTTCTTGCTATTTGTCTCTGTTTGTCTCTTGTCTTTTTGACATATGAATACTCATAATGATTACAGCAAATTGACGGCAATTTGTTGATATTAGTATATTTCCTCATCATCAGTTGTCGTCATGTTGCCGTCACATTGCTAGTAACCCCGGATCTACAATAGGGTTTTAAGCCCTAAGTCATAAGAAATGGACGAATCACAGTCGATTATTCCCTTCGGATTCGACTGTAATTGGTCAATTTCTTACGGCTTATGGCTTAAAACACCTATTGTAGATCCGGACTAATGGCGCGATCCCATGGTGTGGAACGTATACGCAATATGGAATTGGCGGAACGATATCTGTCCAATCGCAAGCATTCCGTCAATTGCGCTCCGCCGATATGTTTTTTCTAAACCAATCACGAGCGTTCCGCCAATTCCGCATCATGGGACCGCACAACATACTAATATTTCAGACTGCTTGCTTTCAAAATTCCATCAACTAAATACTTGTATAATCATTCAATAAATTCTTGATATGATGACGGCAAACAACAACTGTTCAACACTCATGCAGTACATTAGTTTGGTTGATATGATTAATCATACTTGGTTATCTGTACAAAAATTTTTCGCAATTAAAGTAGAACTTAATTAAGTCACAATAACATCAAAATGACGTTGAAGTGTGAATCGTGATTGAACAAAAAAGTGACTTTCAGTAAACATTTTGGAGCCATTTTAACGTCATGATGATCTTTTGTTCTGTTTAAATATATTTTTCAATTTATTGCATATAATAGATTTTAGAAACATTTCTGTTAAAACATTTCATATGACATATTGCAGAATCCTTTCAGAATTGTTACACATGAAACATGAAAGGTTGAAACATTTTTGAAAGCTTTCCGCAATAATCGATGCTGTATGGATACGTTCGAAGGTCTTTCTAGGTTTTCTAAATTCTTGTTAATTACAGAACATAGTTTACGCACATCCGTGCGACATTTTGTACATGTAAGGTTTTTTAAAGTGTTAAATTTCCGTGATAAAAAATCGTCTTTTGCTTTTAATACAGAACTACAATTTAAAAAAAATGAGACATCTTAATGAAAATCAAGTGGCTCAGGTTATCGCTTTACTTGAAAGTGGTAGATCTCAACGATATGTGGCTAATAGATTTAATGTAAGTTAATCTGTTGTATCTCGTGCTTGGACACGTTATACCAGGACACTGGACATTACCGGCGAAGAAGAGGTCAGGGTCGCAGACGTGTGACATCCGCTCGGGAAGATCGTAACATTGTCAACATGGTTGTGAGGGAACGTACAATAAGTGCTCGTTACATTACAGCTTAATTGTTTCAAAATCGACCAGTAAGCAATTCGACAATTCGGAATCGCCTGAGACAAGCTAATCTGAGGTCACGAAACCGAGCATGTGTGCCAATGTTAACTTCTGCTCATCGACGAGCTCGATTGGAATACGCGAGAACTCACATCAACTGGACTCAGAGGCAATGGAGGCAAGTTTTCTTTTTACGGACGAAAGTCGTTTTTCATCTTTAACAATGATAAACGAGTTCGTGTATGGCGTCGACACAATGAAAGATTCAATCGTGCTTGTATCGCAACAATTCGAGCGTTTCATAGAGGTTCGGTTATGGTTTGGGCAGGGATCTCTATGACACAACGCACAGACTTAATAACAATTCCTCCTCCTGGTCTAACAGCAGCTCGTTATATCAATGAGATACTTCAACCACATATTCTGCCATTCCGGCAAAGAATTGGAGACCAATTTATTCTAATGCAGGATAACGCTCGTTCTCATACTGCTGCGTCAACAAGACCATTTTTACAGAACAACGACATCACAGTTCCTGATCATCCAGTAATGAGCCCGGACTTAAATCCCATCGAACACGTTTGGGATTTGATGGGTCGCCGGTTGAGAAATTATCCAAGGCAGCCAACGACACTAGCAGAACTGGAGAGAGTCCTCCAGCAAATTTGGCAGGAAATTCCTCAAAATGAAATCAATAGGTGTATCGGTATGAGGAATAGACTGCTCGAGGTTGTTCGCCGAAGAGGCGGTAATACCTCATATTGAATTAAAAGTCTATGCACGCGAAACGTATCCATACACGCACACACACACACACACACACACACACACACACGCGCGCGCGCGCGCGCGCGCAGAGCAGAGAGGGTTTGGAGTCGTAAAATACCGAGGGACTAACGAACCTCGGGGTCCTTATCTCTAACTGTGTTCACACACACGCACACGCGCGCGCACGCACGCACACATACACACACATGATGTGCAAATTCCGACCGAGCAACCTCCCCGTGATGCACATCGGGTAACGCGAATGCCGGCGGTAATTACCCAAAATCTTGCAAAATATAAGGTTCCGTTTGGAACCTGATAATTCAGCTTCTGAGTATGCTAGAGTAATGATCGAAGTCTCGTTTCAAAGGAAATGTTTCAAACTTTAAAATGTACCCAGAAAAATTGTCCTACGATCTCTGGAAGCAGAGATACAGTTTCTTAAATATCAACCAAATTTGTAGATTTCAAAGTGATCCCCTAATTGTTGTGCGTAGTGTATAAAAGAAACTTTAATAAATGAAAAATAAGTTTACAATTGAGATCATAATTGAACAATATAACCCAGAGTGTCCAAAATAAACGTATCAATCACTCATTTTGTACTTTATAAATGAAGCGCGAAGAGAGAAAAGGACACATAGCGAGATCTGATAAAGATGCATAGAGATCAGTCGTAGCAACATCATTTATTTCTTCGCAGTTGACAGGCCTAGGATTCTGAACGGTACTTCGACTCGCAAAAGGGGCGTAGTTTGTCCAAACTGCATATACCATAGGTTTGTTCGCGTCGCATTCTCCAACAGGTTCCAATATGCTCCTACCATAGCTCTTATTCACTCCAACGCGCTTGGTAGAGTTGAGTAGGAGCTATGGTAGGAGCATGTTGGAGCATGTTGGAGCTTGCGACGCGAACAAACCTCATGTTAATCCCTTTTATCATGGTAGGAGCTATGTTGCAGCATATTAGAGCTTGCAACGCGAACAAACCTAAGGTGAAGCATTTCGCATAATGGCGATAGGATACTGAAACCGACCAATCAAACTTGTGCCTAAATGCACTTTCCTGCGTATCATAGCGCTAGCATACTAGAACAGCCAATCAAAATTGTGCCTAAATTCACTCTCCTACTGCGCATTCACGAGAATACTTCACCATATATATTTTCACCATGGAGAAAGGATCTAAGAAAGCTGGGTGTCCCTCCAATTCGTTTGGAATTGTATACTCGAATAAAGCTATTTACTAGTTAAATAAAAAGCTACAAAGTTTTTCTTTAGAGATGTCAGAGAACTACAAGGTTCTATTTTTATGAATAACGAAATATCGAAAATTCATTATTGTAAAATTGATGTACTCTAAGACTGATTATTTACTAAATATAAACTTATTTTTTTAAATTATATAATATATTGTTATTTTGTCATCCTATTAAATATATATAATTTACTAATTTCTCTATTTTTTTACATGTTAGCATTGTCACTTCTATCATTATATGTATACATTTATTCTAGTAGTTCCAATATATTATTAAAAAAAAAACGCGTTATACTTTTTCAACACAATTAAATAAATTTAATAAACTTTATTAATATTCTTTTGTTTTCAAACAATAAATATTATACAATACAATACACGTTTTCTTGGAATAATTTTCTTTGAATGGAAAAAATCGTGAATAAAATGATTCATCCTGTAATGAATTCTAAAATATGTATATTAATATTCTTTTTATAGGTTTACTGTTGCTTATGTATCATGAACACATGTGTTAAAGAATAATCAAGGACTTTTCGAAATGTGTATCAACAGAAATATTTAGATAACGTACATTCAAACACAATTAGGTTTCTTGGCAATAAATTTTGCAGATAAGAATATTGACAATGAATATTATTTTCGGTAGTATTGATACATAAATTGCCAAATTTAAAAAAAGAATAAGATATTATTTGTAATTAAATGGTCAAATTAAAAGCAAAATTTGCGAATTATTTCAGAGAAAGGAATAAATGTATAGTTTTCCGTTCAGATATTATTTACTTACTACATTGAAAATGTAAAAAATTAATTTGTAATATAAAACTTATTACAGAAATTTTTCATGTGTATGTGTATCATTAAAAAAAGCACGAAAATTTCACGTTTCACCATGATTTCTAAGAATTTTAAAAATGCGATTTATTATTTTCTGGTCTATAGTTTTCTTTAAAACGCTTCTCTCTACAGATTTTTTATTTTTTAAAATAAATTAATTACAAGAAAAATATTACAAAATGACAATAATATATACATAAAACTTTAATTCTTATAAAAAATTATATTTATGTTAATTGTCTCCATTAGGAATATACGAGTACATTTTTTATATTTAAAAATAAAGAATACAATTTCTATTATATTTAAACACAATTATGTTCAATTCAAACATAACATAAATATTACAATGAACATAACTGAAATGAAGGAAATAATATAATGTTGAATAAAAATCCTTTTATTTTATTATCAATATAAGATCACAAAAACATTTCTTTCAAGGATAGACTATTATGGCACATAATATCTCAGTAATACATTGAATAAGGAAAAAGTATATATATATATATAACTAATAATATATATATATGTAACTAATAATACAATAAAAATATATTACAGCCAACAGCAAAAAATGTAATCTTGTAAAAGTAAGTGCAAATGTAATAGCTAGCAGTGAGGAACATAATTTTATAAAAGATAATGCAAAATATAAAATAACGTGCGCATAAAATTACATACCAGATAAAAAAGAACAAGAATCCATAGTTTAATCTATCTCAAATTTTAATCTTGCTTCATGTGCCTAAGTCATTATTATTTATTCCTGAATAATTTCATTTTTTGCCAAGCTTTTCCCCGTCAGCTTTCCCAACGCCAGCCTGTCCAATGCCAACCTGTCCCACGCCAGCAAAACTCGCGTCGGCCTGTTCCACGCCAGCTTATCCTGTACCAGCAAATCCATGAGTTTGTCCAGCATCAATCTGTTCCGTGCCAATTTGTCCCGCGCCAATCTGTCCCGTATTAGAAGAAAAGGCCGATTTTCTGCTCTGTTCGATCTGGATCACCTTTGGATCTGTCCTGAATGGTACCGTGATCGTCAAGATGCCATCGCTCGATGTCGAAGATGTTATATGATCGATGTCGCTACTACTATAAGGTAATAGATATCGTATCACGAACTGTTGGGACCTAACGTTGGACTTGTCCTGCTTTTCGTGTATGCCCTTGATGATCACCCAATTGTCCACCACTTTGACGGTGATCTCTTCCGGATTATACTGCTGCACGTTTACGGTGATTTTGAAGCCGTCGCTGTCGATATTCATAGTACTGACGACATGTTGATTACGATTTAGGTTCCTCCATGAGATATAAGGGTAAAAATCCAGAATCTTGCGACCGTGAAAATCGATCGGAAAATAATGATTATGGAAGCGAGATATTACTCGCGATCGAGCAAGGTGCATTCTACCGAGAGTTAGAGCGGAGAGGTTCACCGGATTGGTGGGAACATCCAATCCCAAATGGAGACTCGAGAATAACAATGGCAAGAGATACATGATGTTGTAAGATTCTCTTCTTACTTACGAATAGAGTCTTTTAGTTTGACGAAGAAATCGATGAATGAAGGTACAACCGGCTGATCTATTTGCGTACGATGCGATGCTTCGTGTAATCGTATTTTGCAATGAAGACTGTCGTCGCGATCGTTATTTATATCAGACAGGTTTTGAGGTGGGAAGCACGTTCTGTAAATATTGTAAGACTTCAAAATACTACCGCGAATGGAGCTGCATTTACAGTTAAAATAAATCCTCCACCAGTTTGTTTAATCCTTCCGTGCAATTAATAATTGTCAATGAAAAATATGCTCAATTGTCCCTTTTTGCTATTTATCGATGGCTATTCAAGCTTCAGCTATTCAATTAAAATTATACATCAATTATTTTCTTACATATTTCGGAAATCTTTCAGGTTATTTATATATTATATAATATAAAAAGGTTAAATTTTATTAATCTATAGACCTGTTCTTTTTGGCTGAACTTTTGTACCAATTCATCTTTCTTCCTCTTCTTTCCTCCTGGAGAAAAAAAGAAAAAAGATGAACTGGTGCAAAAGTTCAGCCAAAAAAATAGACCTTATGTATCAGAGATTTTCTGTATATTAAAAAGATTAAAACTGAAAAAGGAAGGTTGATGTCTATTAAAAAAAAATTTTTTTAAATATTTTAAAGAATAAAATTAAGCTACGCCGAATCAGTGGTTTCCGAATAAATCACTCACATTTGGCAGTTAAGTAAATCAAGATAACGTGAAATTCACTCACATTTAACGATAATAAATCAAGATGACGTGGAAAGTTAATATGATGACTGCAATGTGTGAGCAAATTTATTACAGAAATTATACAAAACCATTCGTTTAGTAATATTACTGAATTATAACACCTTTTATCTATCATCACAGAAAAATGGAAAAAAAAATAAAAAAAATGTTTTTGATAAGAAAATACTATATCGAATACACGTCAATGCTTGTGAATTACGGATGGAATTCCATACTACAAGTCACTCACAACACTCGTCCAGCGGAAAAACTCTAGGCATCGATCGTTGTGAATCAATCATACGGCTGTGATCAATCATAACGTCATCAAATGAGACACTTCCGCCAATTACATGAGTTTTGAACGAAATATTTTTTACAATATTTGTTAACAACTGATTGATCTCTTACTACTATGTAATAAAAAAGTATCTAATATAAAATATCAAGTTCAACCTGTCAAAATGTTATAATATATAATAATTTGAAATGTGCTGTAAAAAATCAAGTGGACGTTAATATAAAAAAAGATAAATGATTGTGCTTCCAGATTAAAACAATACAGTATCGTTATGTGTAACTTGTAATCTAGCGCCATATGTGCGACTGACACGTCAAGTATAATTGATGAGGTATCAGACTTATAAAAGGTGCGTTTTCAGCGGAATTGGCGAACAGTCCGTAAACAGATCACGAATTGCTTTATTTCTGATCGAACATTTATTCGTGAGCAGTTTGCAAACGTGCAAACGTTAATAAGCAATTCGTGTTTGGTTGTAATTTTTTGATCGATTGCTGTTTGTGAGTAATTCTTTACAAGTTCGCTCTAAGAACGGTAAAATCACGAAGAAATAGGAACGGGTATAATCGATTAATAATTATTCAAACAATTAATCTATTATTTTTTAGTCTTAAGGTCGACAGGAGTGACAAACTGGATCTTGATTGTACTATAGTAGAAGAATGCAATCGATTTATAATCGTATCTATTTAGGTATTTGAATAACCAATTATGACTATCCCTACGAAGAAAACGACAAAATGTAAAGTGAACACCACAGACAGCATGTTTAGTTTTCGTAAATATTTGAGAATTGATCGCGAACTTCTTACACGCACTGTTTACAAATAGATCGAACAGTGTTTGCAAGCAATTCGTCAATATAGTTGGCGAACTGTTTTCTGATGATCATGCATTTTAAAGATTAATAATCTTTCTCATTTTTCAATTGAGCCATTTGAAACATTTAAAATACTTTTCCTGTACTTTTGTCCTGTACTTCCTATATATTATAGGTTTTTGATCAATTTATAGTTGAATTTTTTTACAGAAATCTAATATTAGCCAACTTATTACTAAAAGATAGTAATTAATTATATATTTAGAATACTAAAGGCACTGAATAATACTGCTTTTAATATTTGAAATAAGTAATTCATTATTTCAGTATTGAAAATAGTCAGTATTAGATTTCTATAAAGGTTGCGGAAAAAGAAATTTTTTATCAAAAGAAAAGTTTTTGTTAATTAATTCTTAAGTAAAAGAAATCAAATGTAGAGTTTAGAGATTGTTTTCTAATTTTTATTTATATCTTTCATTTATCAATATAAATAAAGTTAAAGGTTTAATGTAATAGTATGTTATCTTGTACTCTTCGTGTTGCCTTGAATAAAAAAGAAATCTTTTAAAGAAAATTCTTTAATAAAAAGAAAGATATAATAAATATGACATTTAAAAAGAATCATCCATCGTCAATTTTTCTATCTTATCAATTAAAAATTCTATTGTTTTTCGAATATTTCTTCTTTTGTATATATTTTTTAAATAATGATCGACTAAAATGTTTAATTATTTTAAAATATTTTTAATTTGGAATTAACACAATAATTCACTATTATACGATGATACATTATTGTACAAACACGCATATATAGAGATTAATAACAATAATTATTATTGTAATAATACGTAATGAGTAATAATAATAATGAAAATAATATAAATAAAATTGTAAGCTGTGTACGAAAATAACTCGGTTGACAAAAGTGTTAAAAATAACATCACAAGAGCGAATAAGAAATCTAATTTTTTTCAACCTTCAAAAATTCTTTAGAAATTCTTAAAAAAAAACAACCGCATTGTATTTTTCGCTTATTGTTAGTACGCTTACATAAACGCAAATAGAAATATTGAACTGCAAACAAAAATTACAGCATGTGCACAAGAATAGAATTACTGTACAAATGTTTATTAAAAAAAAAAAATAAAATGATATCGTTTACAACACAATCCGTGGCGTCACTATAAAAATTCATTCTTAAATTTACTTATTCAATCACTTTCAATAATAATTTCTAGCAAATCATTAAGTTTAACTGGAACGCGTGATCCACTATATGATTGTATAATATTACGTTTAATTAGTCTTTAATTTGAAAATAAAATGTCTATATCACATTAAAATATAAACATTAATTAAATCAAATTTTTGACAATATTAAATTCTCATAATCAATTAACATTACAAGTTGCACAACAAAATGCATCAGCGTTTTTCAAAATTAGTTATTTTGACTTTTTTTATATATAGCTTTGTTTTATGATCCATTGCATTCGAAATAGAACTTTACTCATGTTGCAACAATATTGCAACGTTATTGCAGCGATATTGCTGCAAATTCTGTGCTGTATGGGATATGTTTCTATCGAATTTAATTATTGATATCTATTATTGCGAATAACGGCTGAAATTACTCGGGAAAAAATGTTCATATGTAATTATATGTAACATTTTTTCTCAGGTAATTTTTCTTTAGATCTGTTTTTTATTTCTACATTAAACAACATTGAACTCTTTCTCGTTTTCGTCAAATATCCAGGACTAATAGTATTTAAAAGGCATAAAAGTATTTAAGGGGATCACACCACTTGCAGCGCGAAAAAATAGGTCATTTTTAGGAATTTTTTTTATGAAAACTACTAAACTTTTTTATAATATCAATATATCATCTTAAAGTATAGACAATAAACATCTTTTAGGAATTTCTTTATTGAAAAATATTAAACAGTTTAATTATAAATGGCCATCATATATAATAAGTTTTTAAAAAGTCGTTTCGCGGTGACCAACACTGTGGCGAACT